ACGCAGAGCCCACCTTAGACAAAAGATAAGCAGTATTCCTTGGATCACATCCTGCGTACAGCTTACAGGTTGCACACTATTTCTGTGAGAGAGCGCTATGTGAAATATGATTGCATATATACATATATCATCATATATGTATACATGTATACAACACTGAAAATTGGGACCTTTTCCCAATTTGTATAGAGGAAACAGGAAGCCTCTTGTAGAGGCGAATGTTGGGTATCATTCTCCACCTCCAGCAAGTATCAATCATCTAGGGGTAGTTCTCAAAGTTGGGATCACTATTTAAAATGTGTCCTTTGGAAAGTACTCAACTTTCCATAAATTGTGAAAACGGCTGATCATTCCGACCCGTAGCCTTTGTAGAATGGTCTGATGGTCATTTTTCCGTCCAATGCTCCCACGACGTCTGGTTAGACTCCCATGACTCTGGAAGTTCAAATCCACGTTTCTGTGGAGCAAAGCCCCCATATTTTGCCATTCAAATCCACATTGCATTGTTGGTGGTTGAAATATTTTTTTCCCCACCTGCCAGGTGAGGGTTGTTAGATTTTATCTAAGTTGCCTTCTCCTCCTCCTCCTCCTCTCCTCCTCTCCTCCTCCTCTCGTCGTCCTCCTCCTCTCGTTGTCCTCCTCCTCTCGTTGTCCTCCTCGTCTCGTTGTCCTCCTCGTCCTCCTGCTCAACTGCGACTCGCGATCCACAGTGTTCGCTGTCGGACCTCAACCACGACCATCCACGCCCAGTGTTCCCTGCCGGACCTCAACCACGACCATCCACGCCCAGCGTTCCCTGCCGGACCTCAACCACGACCATCCCCGCCCAGTTTTCCCTGCCGGATCTCAACCACGACCATCCACGCCCAGTGTTCCCTGCCGGACCTCAACCGCGAGTATCCCCGCCCAGTGTTCCCTGCCGGACCTCAACCGCGAGTATCCCCGCCCAGTGTTCCCTGCCGGACCTCAACCACGACCATCCACGCCCAGTGTTCCCTGCCGGACCTCAACCGCGAGTATCCACGCCAAAAGATATGCCACATAGAGTGCCAGAAGATATGCCAGATAGAATGTGAGAAGATATGCCAGATAGAATGCCAGAAGGTATGCCAGATAGAATGCCAGATAGAATGTCAGCTAGAATGCCAGAAGATATCTCAGATAAAGTGCCAGAATGTTTGCCAGATAGAATGCCAGCAGATTTGCCAGATAATATGCCAGAAGATATGCTAGATAGAATGCCAGATGGAATGCCAGAAGATTTGCCAGATAATATGCCAGAAGATATGCCAGATAGAATGCCAGAAGGTATGCCAGATAGAATTCCAGATAAAATGTCAGATAGAATGCCAGAAGATATGCCAGAACATCTGCCAGAAGATATGCCAGAACATCTGCCAGAAGATATGCCAGGTAGAATGCCAGAAGATATGCCAGAAGATATGCCAGAACATCTGCCAGAAGATATGCCAGAACATCTGCCAGAAGATATGCCAGGTAGAATGCCAGAAGATATGCCAGATAGAATGCCAGAAAATATGTCAGATAGAATGCCAGAAGATTTGCCAGTAACAAAATGTATAAATATCATGGTGGGGATCACACGAAGTAAAGTAATTGGAATGAATTATCCATCAATGAATTATTATAATTATTTCTTGTGGACATCTACCTTCGTTATTCATCTGGATGAACGAAAAAAAATAGAACTCACGTAGCGACATCATCGGGATGATGGTCCAGCTGGGTGAGAAGAAACGAGAAGTTGGTTTCTTACCCATCTAAGTTAGTTTCTTAAACCTAATGTCAACCCTAGATTCATAAACCCCAAACGGCTCTAAAAAATTGGGGGGGGGTTTCTCATTTAAATATCAGATTTATACTGATTTATGACTACTTGGGGAATACTCCCCTAATTAATAAACCCGTGGTTTACAAATCCGAGGTTGACATTATAGTTATTCAAAATCTTCCACCTATATACTTCTTGCATGTTATAATCACCATCAGCCCTAGTTACACTGGTTGTAAAACCAGCTAAGCAATGAATTTATTACCAAATTATAATCACCATAAGTATCCGTTCAACTGATTGTATACTAGAACTTTTATAACCAACAACTGGTTGAATCACCATAAGACGATAACTGGTTGGTGGTTTCAAACATTTGAAGTATTTTCCATAGTATATGGGATATCATCCTTCCCATTGACTTTCTCATATTTTTCAAGATGGTTATTGCACCACCAACCAGCATATATTAATTATTAATTCGGGATATTGATTTGATGTCCTTTTCCTAGTTGATAGTTGATAGAGGGATCCCCCATCACCATAAGACCATAACTCATAGAATTGGATGATGGGAAAATTTACAGGAAAACCAACAACTTGATGGTAAAAACATGTAAAAACCATGGTTTCCTGCAGGTTTTCCCTTAAACCAATCCATTGAATCTGGGCAAATTATAACGACCTCACTGCGACCTCACTGGAATCATGGATAATAAGAGGAATCATCCCAACATGGCCTTAATTCAGGTTAGTGAATTATTGTAATTTGCCCAGATTGAATCACGTTGAAGTGAAGGTTTTTAAAGCCACCAGCTCTCCTCTCCGAGACTCACCCCTGAGGTGATTCGCCTTCGTGCCACGCACGTGGATACGGTGAGCAGCGAAGAGCCAACCGGCCGAATTTTTTTCGCGGAATGGGTGCAAGCTATCAGAGAAACACATTGGAAACCATGTTACAAGTTATAATGTGTATGAATGTGTTATACTTATCATCTATCATCATCCTTGATTATCCCGTGTTATCCATGATCTTTTTCTGCCGTCCTTGTCCACTGAAAAGCACTTGAGTTGGCAACACATGTGGGTTTGGTTGAAAATATGGCACGCCGAAATTTGATGGTTGATGATTCCTTTTCCCATTGAATTCGTTATTTTGTGTGTGCCCCAAAATATTATTGGACATTATTATTCCCCAAATTTATTCCCGAAAATGTCCAATGATATTCCCATTTGAGACAAACCCCTGTAGTTTTTATCAGCCGATCGAAGTTTCAGCAAGGCAAGTCGAAGGTCTGGAAGAAGCGGAGAAGCTGACGGAGAAATGGCAGGCCCAGCGTCTGTGGGGCCTGGTGTGATTGAGCAAAACCCGGACATTTTCGGGAATATCATAGTGATATATGGAGATATTAGGGGATGTAGAGAATTATAGAAAATATACGTATATAACTTATAACCAGTTTATGGAGAATTTTCATGTATACTTGGGCATATTTGATGGAATTTACCCTACTTGGGTGTGCAGTGCAGGGGTTGTCCAGGTATGGCCATAGTAGCGACCTCATGATTGCTGGTTTTTATGCAACCCCACCAGTTTGTAGTGATAAACCCACAATTAATGCAGGGTAATCCATGAGTCATTGGCATTTCGTGGGTTATGAAACCCCAGCTTACAGAAAATTAGCCAAAAACCATACTGAATACTATAATCACTATTATAGTATATATATACTATAGTAAACTTGGTTGCTTAACTTTAGTTTAACTATAGTTCCCCCCGGTTGTGCCCCCTTTTTTCTGTTCCCCCGCGGCTCTTGAAAAATCGCCGCGATATAGCGGCGGATCAGGACGCTCTACCGGGAAGTTTCATGAGTTCCGGAGCGTACATCTTCTTCGATCAATATAGGCCCGTCCGTGCGAATTGGGCCATCCAACTCAGGCATTGAAAAAAAGGGTCGTTTTTTGCCGAGATAGGCTAGAGTTTCTATATCACTAAAATATGGAGAGTTGAAGCACGGCTAAAGCAACAAGAGTTCTGGTAGTTCCATAGTAGGGAGGGCTGCAAACATCACCACAAATGGTGTCTGAATAGTAGTAAAGTCCGCAAGAAAGTGATGCAGAGAGGATGGGCTCAAATCCACCAACCCCGCAAACCATTTGATTTTATTAAAGAACAATATGTTTGCATTGAATAGACTTTTTCTTTGCGATCGGGTCGCGACCACTAAATAAGGAAGCACAATGTTCAGCTACATTTCTGTTGGGGATTCCTGCTATGTCAGTGAACTGGAGGGAATAACCCTTTCATTGAATTTATATAATATAGCGGTCCTGTCCACCCTTCAGCATTTTTGCCCCAGTTCTAGGCTTTCATCCATTTGGGGTGCATCTTATTTAGGCTTGGTACCCCTCCAGTAGTGAATGAAACATGGCAAGGGAAAATCAACAACGGGCTCAGCTAGGTCAACGCCTGAGGTTGGTCCGATTAATCAACTGGATGTATATAGCCCGTCATATCCATATCCCCATTGCATTCTAATTTGCAGAGGATTTCCCACTATATTCCATAAACATAGGGCTTAAGATCAATCCTGGCTTAACAGTCGACTACGAGGTTTGAAGCAGTCCCTTCCATTGACCAGCATCGTTTGGCTAATGGGATGCTTATTGGGTTGGAACCCAATATACATCTGCGACTGCTATGGTAAGGGGTTCAAAACTTTGCTGCCCCAGTAAGGATATGCATTTTCCTTAGCTATGTATCTTGACTATGAACTACATATATCATATATCTATATGCTAGGCTGTCCTAGGTTATCAAACCCAGTTCCCAGTCATTTCCTAATTGTAGGGATCATCCCAATATAGATGCAAAAAATCATTTGACATGTTTTAAATCAACCGCTTGAACAAATCCACTGAACAAATCCCTGGATTTCTTGCTGAAAAACCCTTGCACGAAAACCAGGATCATTGTGGCGCAGATGACCAGCAGCATCGGTTTGTGTTTGGGTGCTGTCACGGTGATCAGTGCGCTGATTCTGGGGCACCCGCTCTCGGTGCTCACCGTGATCATCGTGCTGGGTGCCTGGGCTTTTAAAGGACCACGATGGCCAGGGGGGGCCACCAAGTTATGGGAATGAAATACTGGGAAAGATGATGCTCCATCAGTTTCTTTTTTCAGCTTTCTGGCGGAAAATGTTCATCTGTTTTGGAGACTGATTATGAAACTGAGGACATGAGGACATGATGAACCATGGCCGTAAATCACTTTTCAGGGGGAGAATCCATGAATCACAGGGAAAATCACCAAATTGCGCAACGTTGGAATGCTTCAAAAGACTGGTCACTCTATTTATCCAATTTTCATGGGTTTTATCCCCCAATTTTGGGTGCATCGTCCTTTACATGCCATAGTTTTCGAGGTGCTTGAAAGCAGCCATATTTTCAGTGCTTTCACCTGACTCTGTTGACATTTTTGAAGAGTGGATGGTTTAACTGACCTCAACTTAATCTTTTGTGAAATCATTTGCTTGGGTACAGAAAGAGCCGCCCAAATTACGGTTGTTGATTATTGTTGGTTTGTGGAATTATAAACCAATCCAACTCAAACATATTCAATCATATTCAACCACGAAACCTAGTTTGTTACAAACCAACATACCTCTCGTTGCCACTGTAACTTTCAAAACTGACTATTCCTTCCTGGGGTCACTGGGTATAGTCGTGAACCCGCAGGTTTGGTGTTTGTCGACCTGATGGGCAACATCGTCTCTTGGTGAGCGACGGCACGTATAAATCATGGGTAAATGATGGATACATGATGGGTAATCTGATGAAGTCTAGGTTGCTGGGTAACTCTCCAAGTTTCACAAGACTTGTCAGCTGAAATGCTGAAATTCACCCAGATCCTTTCCCCATGGATGGACTTGAGTTCCACAGCCTACCAGTTTGCCAGTGATTGGGAAAATGATGATGAACCATCAAATTTAGGGCTATCATCTACTTTTCAGACAAAGCCACATGAACATCTGAACATATTACTGAACTTTCACTGACGAACGTGGCTTCATCACATTTCATCACAATCTTCATCACAATCTTCATCACATTTCTGACATTTGGCTGCATCCATGGGGAGGATGTTCCTGGAGAACGACTTCTCGTTGGTTGGGTAACGCTTCACCATCAAGACACACGGCCGTCCTAAACGGAGAACTTTTCCGATGAAATAGCCATCGATCCATCTGGATGTGTTAGCTCAATTTTCAGAGCTTGGTCATGCTATTGAAAAAAACATGGTGAAATTTCAGCCAGATCCATCATTTACAGGGATTATATATATAATTATATATTATATGACTATGTGATATAGAAAATTATATATCATTAGGGATTATATCCATCATTATCCATGAAAATTCCATCATTATCCCCTGTTTTTGTCTTTCGGAATCATTGAGCCCAGGTTTTATGGGACTTGGACCTGAACTCCATCTCGATGATCAATCTGGTGATGGCTGTAGGACTGGTCGTGGACTATAGCACCTTGGACGGAAGGGGCGGAGAGGGGACTGGTCAAGGACGATACCCTCTGTCGTCATGGGGAAAATCCATGATTTGGATTCGAAAAGGATGATGTTCATGGATCTTCCATCTTTTTTCTCATAAAACAACATAAAACAACCTAGCGTTTCAGAATCATTCAGAAGGGGATTTCCCATTGCAGCCAGCCATGTTTGATTGCCACTTGCGGGCGCCATGTGGGCTGGGTTTGTGGGCAACATTCGCCGATCAAAAAATGAGGATATGGGGATTCGGGATGGATCAAAACCACTCAAAACGATTTCCCAGCTATTTTGCTGTGATAGGGCTACTGATTGGGCTTTGATCCTCCACATGAACATAGATAACATAGTTCCCCCGTTTCAAAACGGGGTTCAACTGACGGGGTTCTCCTCGAAGGTATGCACATGGCACATAACTTCAGCCTTCAAGACAGCATGTTGCCGCGCAAGCAGAGAGCTGAACTTGCTGTGAGGGAATCTTGGTCCATCTTGGTCTGTCATGGTTTGTCCGGTTGTGGTGATATGATATGGTGGTGGTGTTGGTGGCAACGTCGAGAAAACATGAGAACACATGACTGATTGGTGGTGACTGGAACCATGGAATTTTATGACTTTCCCAGATTAATTGGGATTTCATCATCCCAACTGACTTTCACTAACTCATATTTTTCAGAGGGCTGGCGAAAAACCACCAAGCAGATGACTTCTGAAAGTATCTTTTGGATTGGATGATAAGCTATTGACCTACTTACTGGTGATTTGATGATTTTGGATGAGGATGCCATACTTTTTGGGTCCATTGGTGCCCCATGTTACAATGTTGGTAAACATAGGGGTTTGATGGCTGCCGGACAAATGGTTGACATATGAAATGCCGAACTCAACTGATATCAGCAGCGGAATCCCCATGATTTTCAAGGGGGACTGTACAGTTGCATACATTTAAGCATACCCGTCTGTAACTAACAAGCTATGGAAAAATCACCATTTTGAATAGGTAAATCAACGAACTCAATGGGGTATTTTCAATAGCAAACTGTTAGTTTACCAGAGGGTATGGCTTGAGAATCCCTATGATATAACGGATTGATGATTACCATCCTCCTAATATGCCTTGATTTATGCCTTGATGAACCCACATTTTCTCCTTCCAAGATCTTCCAAGTCGACTTTAGGAAATTGGGCAGCCAATCTTCTTGGGAGTTAGTCCGGGGCCTTGGCGACTTTCGGAGACCTGCAAACATATGTGATGTATCAAATATTCTCAAATAGTAGTATATATATATTATACAATATGACATATATATATAATATGATATATATATATAATATGATATATATATAATATGATATATATATATATACATATAATATTATATATAATATGATATATATGGATATATAATTCCCCTTTTAATTTCTCTTATTAAATCCCGCCACCCGGGGGGCGGGACCCAATTTTTATAGGGTCCCGTCCCCCGTTTTTTTTCTTAACATGTCTTATAAAATTCTACGTTTTTTTTTTTTAAATAACGGGTGCCCCAAAAAACCATCATTTTATACACGACCCCTATTTTCTGGTGCTATAAAATGACTAACATGGGTTATCTCCTCAGGAGAAAAAGTGGGGGCGGGGTCAGCATATAAAATTACTTTACTTCGTGTGATCCCCACCATGACATTTATACATTTTGTTACTGGCAAATCTTCTGGCATTCTATCTGACATTTTATCTGGCATTCTTTCTGGCATTCTATCTGGCATATCTTCTGGCATTCTATCTGGCATATCTTCTGGCATTCTACCTGGCATATGTTCTGGCATATCTTCCGGCATTCTATCTGGCATTCTATCTGGCATATCTCCTGGCATATTATCTGGCATATCTTCTGGCATATTATCTGGCAAATCTTCTGGGATTCTATCTGGCATATCTTCTGGCATTCTATCTGACATTTTATCTGGCATTCTATCTGGCATACATTCTGGCATTCTATCTGGCATATCTTCTGGCATTCTATCTGACGTTCCATCTGGCATATCTTCTGGCATTCTATCTGTCCGTTGAGGTCCAGCGGTGCACACTGAGCTGGGCAGCTCGCAGGTTGAGGTCCAGCGGTGCACACTGAGCTGGGCTGGGCAGCTCGCAGGTTGAGGTCCAGCGGTGCACACTGAGCTGGGCAGCTCGCAGGTGGGCAGTTGGCGAAGAGCTTGGCGACAAGTTGGCAAGGTTGGCAAGGCGGAAGTGGAGGTGGAGCAAGGCGGAAGTGGAGGTGGAAGAGGCGGAGGCGAGGAGGAGGGCGAGGAGGACAGCTAGTCGAGGAGGAGGAGGCGGAGGAGGAGGAGGAGGCGGGCATGCGCTCTGATAAAATCCAACAACCCTCACCTGGCAGGTGGGGAAAAATGATTTGTATATTTGTTTACTACATATTTGCGTTATAAAATCATGGGTCCTTTTAAGCCTGTCATGTATAGTATCGATTTGTCATTTAATAAACACCTGGAGAACAACAGCCGGATTTTCAAGGATTCTGGCAACATGCGCTGACACAATCACACTGTGCTTGGGATCCCGGTACCTGGGCTCTCCAAAACCAACATCATTCGCCGCTGCTGCAAGTGAGTCAGCAAATTCACTTGGATAGGCCAAACTAGACACTTAAGCTATTAAATACCAACATTTGGAGGCAAATGTGTAGTGCCCGTAACCCGTACACTTTTTGAATTGCGCCCCGATTGCGGGGTACCAAGTTGTCCAAAATGTTAAAAAATGTCAAAACACACACAAGATGTGTAAAATATTGTAAAATCAATTCTTTTGAGCGTGGTCCCAATGTGCATCCTCCTCAGGAAACATAAATTAGGAGATAGATGGTAAGTTAGATGCAAAACTCGCTTCCATGATTGGCCTCCACCAGCTTGAGTGTGGGCTAACTTTGTGGATTTCTCCAAGGGTTTAATAAATCCAAAGGTGTAAAATGGGTTTGAACCCTAAAAAGTGCTCATATCCATTGAAACTTTTGCCAGGTAAAAGTGCTACACTGGAATCTCTAGGATATTATTAAGACATATTGAGAAATATTGAAAATTATTGAAAACGATTGAAGCATATTGAAACATACGAAAACATCCTACACATGTAAAAATCAATTTGAAAATATGCTGAAATTACTCGAATTCAACGATCAAAAAAAGAAGTACAGGCCTGATGTCAAACATTGTCATGCATTGTCTTTCTATACCAAACCTACCCATGCAAAAAACATCTAAAACGTCTTGGTGTAAAATGGTGTAAAATAGGTTAAAAAGCGAAGATAATTGTATACACATATAATAACAATTAATAACATATCTAAATTGTTCAAAAGTGTTCAAAATGCAAAGCACATCAAAATTATTGAGACATATTGAGACATATTGAGATCCCATTTTTCTGAACAAAACAGCAAAACAATACAAACACATAAAGTGGTAAGAGATGGTAAGAGAACATAACGCAATGTTTGCCCGTGGTTGCCCATTATGTCGTAGTTTATATTCCAATATATTGCAACAGTTTCCAATATAACAGATAATATAAGAGTATATAGGTGTGCGCAACGATGCATTAGATGTATAAAGTAGTCATATGTAGTATATTGTAGAATTATGCAATTATAAAATGACAATAATGTTATATCTAGCATTTTCACCACAGTATGATTATCATTTTATATCAGGCAGGCCGCCCAGGGTTATAAAAGACAGTATGACTTGCATTTGGCATTTCGTAAGGCCCAAACTGGTGCAGGTAGTAAGTTTTTTTTTAAAAAATCTTATATTATGTTTGTTGTTGCAGCTGTGACCTTGAGACACTATTTGCCATTTTACAATGTTTCTAAAGCTTATTGCATGTGTGCAAGATTCATGTTCGCTTTTCTGGATTATCCATTGTATAAGGTACACTTACTTTGCAAATCGTTGCAATATAAACAATTTCTTTTGAACATTACAGGTTTTACCAGCACAAACTGAGAAAAACATACCCGGAGAAATCAGATTTGCACAGGTTTTGTTCTTATAAGATGCCCTGGAGGTGCCTTATAAAATGACTCCCTTCTCGGGGACACCAAATTAGTAGAATTTCCACTCCCGCTTAATAAAATGAGTTTCGAATCCTGTGCAAAAAGTTAGGTCAGGATCCCGGGACGCCGTAAGAGATTTTCATGCTGATTTTGGTAATTCTTTAAAAAAATATCTCTGCCCAGGAGGTGGTTTGTGCCGGCGAGTACCTTGGGGCCTGCGGCAAGCTGACCATGGCTGGGTTGGCGGGGTTACACGAGGTTCTCAGCCGTGGCCCAGCCATGGGAGAGTTTCGATGTGGGCGATGACGTGGCGGTGCTGGGCTGGCACCAGGACGGGTGGGTCCTCTGGGGGACCCACCCGTTCGAGCGGTGGTGGGGGCCAGCTTGGTTCGTTGACCCCCTTAGATAGCTAAGATTGTTTCAAAATGGCAATTGCAGGGACTACAGACCTACAGCAATATATGGCAATGGATTTGGCAAAGAATAACGGCTTATAAAATGCGACTCCCAGAGGTCATCGGAAACTTTGGTGATGATCCCTGCTTTGGAGCGAAACTGTCGCTGTTGATCATCAAAACTGCTCATATCTTGATTCCGTTGTCACGAGGTGATACATCCTGCACACCTGGAGAAATCCTTCTCCAGATTTGATAACTTGTGATAACTTGTGATGCTTAAAGCCATCCATCCTGTGGGTTCAACTGCCACTTCTTTTCACTTAAGAGCTCCACTCAACAACGCATCCTCATTTGTTTGAAGGTGGGGTGGAACATCACCATGTTTTTAAAAGTAAATCATCGATTCACATGGACAATTTCCCATAGCAAACTGTTAATTTACAGTTTCCCAGTGTTTCCCATAGGACATGTTAGTTCCCCACCTGCCAGGTGAGGGTTGTTAGATTTTATCAGAGTTCTTCTTCTCCTCCTCGGCTAGCTGTCCTCCTCCGCCTCCTCCTCCTCCTTCTCCTCCTCCTCCGCCTCCTCTAGTTTCTCCTCGACCATGTCTGCATCAACTTCCACCTCCACTTCCGCCTTGCCAACTCTTCGCCAAGCTCTTTGCCAACTCTCTTCGCCAAGCTCTTTGCCAACTTCCCAGCTCAGTGTGCACCGCAGGACCTCAACCTGGGACCTTCCCAGCTCAGTGCGCACTGCTGGACCTCAACCTGGGACCTTCCCAGCTCAGTGTGCACCGCAGGGCCTCAACCTGGGACCTTCCCAGCTCAGTGTGCACTGCTGGACTTCAACCTGGGACCTTCCCAGCTCAGTGTGCACCGCTGGACCTAACCTGGGACCTTCCCAGCTCAGTGTGCACCGTTGGACCTCAACCTGGGACCTTCCCAGCTCAGTGTGCACCGCTGGACCTCAACGGCCAGATAGAATGCCAGAAGATATGGCAGATAGAGTGCCAGAAGATATGCCAGATAGAATGTTAGAAGATATGCCAGATAGAGTGCCAGAAGATATGCCAGATAGAATGTTAGAAGATATGCCAGATAGAATGCCAGAAGGTATTCCAGATAGAATGCCAGATAAAATGTCAGATAGAATGCTAGAAGATATGCCAGATAAAGTGCCAGAATGTTTGCCAGATAGAATGCCAGAAGATTTGAGCAGATAATATGCCAGAAGATATGCCAGATAGAATGCCAGAAGATATGCCAGATAGAATGCCAGAAGATATGTCAGATAGAATGCCAGAAGATTTGCCAGTAACAAAATGTATAAATGTCACGGTGGGGATCACACGAAGTAAAGTAATTTTCCTCAATTATTTGATAGTGAGTCATGTTTTTCCCCATTAAATTTGTTTTATTGGAGGTGTAGGTTACCTGTACCAAGAGTTGATTGTTACCTGTATTTGCCATTTTCAGACCCACCAAGCGGCCAAGAGATTCTGTGCTCTTCCCAGGGTACCATGGCTTGGCATCCCTTGCCAACTTTGTGACACAGGCATTCAGTCGACCGGTGTGCCACCGCGTACGCAGAGGATACTGGTGCTTGTCGCCTTCGCTCGGCTACGTGCCAGAGAGGTTCGTGAAACAAGACAGGACAAGGATCGCGAACCTGTACTTGAAGGACACTCCCAACGAGCCATCCTGCATATTCGCGCTGCTCTCTGACGTGGCAGGAGACGGGTACGTACTAGAGAAGTACGCATACCGCACGGTCACGGATCGCCGCGTGAACAGCCTGGTGTGGTTTGGGCCCGGCACGAAGGCTCCCGCTCGGGCAGAGCCAGAAGCAGACCCTAGCACCACGCACGGCGGAGATCTAGTGCCCTTCGACAGCAACAAGGATGTTGACGCCATAGCGGTCACGCGAGTCAGAGGCCAGTCGCTCGTCAGGCCTGTGTCTGTGCCCAACATCGCCACAGTGGATGTGCTGTCGAACACGCCGGCAGCGTTCAGCGATTGGAACTGCACGATTCCACTGGCGGTGACCGGCAAGACTGCAGCAGACTGTCTCGCTCTGAAGCGCCTAGAGATAGACACCATCCCAGTGAGCGACCATTCGGTCCCGATACTCCCGTGGCTCTCCATGGTGATGAGTATCGGGCCTGGCGACATCCAAGCCTACCTCATGGACATGGCAGCTACTTGCATCCCATGCATGGCCCTCGAGGCATTCAGGTCTGCCGCCAAGCAGCCTGGAGGGTACGGAATGGGCTGGATGGATGGCGACTACATGGACAAGTTCGGCCGCATCTGGAGGTTCGTGAGGTTCGCTCCTGTGTCGTCGATGGGCAACAATCGATGGCCAGACAACCAATCTTACGAGTGGCCAAACGCTCCTGTTGCAATTGACCCCACGCCTGGCGTCGAAAAGCGCACTTTCGTCGCAATCGTCCCTGCTCTTTCCTGCATTGGAGACGAGGCTGACGAGTATCGACTGACAATGCCTTGCATCTGGTCGTCAGTCGACACGCGGAATATGCGCGGCAAGCCTGTTGTGCAAGGCGTCACAGGCAAGTTCAGCATATACACGTGGAGCCGCAGGGCGGAGTCGTCCCTGGTGCTCACGGGCTGAGCGCAGAAGTATCTGGGCGCGCAAGAGACTACCCGCAGGGACCCAAGTATTGGGATCTCGCGTCAGTGTTGCGCGACTTCTTCACCGAGATGGAGATCACCGTCGGAGAGAATGTGATGGAGCAACTCGCCATCTACTGGTCCATAAACAACTTGCCGATGGGACGGGTGAGAAGGCGCACTGCGGTCCTCGAGTACGTCTACCAGAGGTTCCAAGATTACGTGAACACGTGGAGGGCCGGCGAACTGAGAGTGGTGCTCAGCAACGCGATAGTCAAGGAGGGCTGGCAGGGCAAGTTTGGGCACTACCTTCCACCTGATGGAAGCTCATCAATCTCGCTCAAGGCTGTCATCGTCGAGCGTGGCGGCAACGCTGGAGTGCACAGCGATCCTCAGACTCCCATGTTCACCACCATGAACCAGAGGCGCCTAGTTTACAAAGAGCGCTCGCCTAGGGCGAAAGATACACCAGAGGACTTCAGTGCCGAGTCTGTCATCTGGAACCACCGCCTGTCTCAAGAGGAAGCGGTGAAAGTGGCGCTGAATGACAGGGTTGAGCCCCGCTGGAAGAAGGTGATCGGTAGCGGTCAGATCGTACGAGTGCGATACACTGATGGCAGAGTTCCCGAGTGGGCGAATCTCGCATTATCGACAGGAGAAGGCGTGTTGGCTTCAGCCCACCTCTGCCGACCGAAGGTAGAGCACGTCTGACGCGCCCACAGACAGGGTGATAGTTAAGTTGATTTATAAGTAGTTTCAGCATGGTTCATGGTTTATGGTAGATATATGTATAGTATTCATGGCTTTTACAAACTTTGGTGTGGCGCATTTGTCATTTTATCATGGAAAAAATAGGGGTTCTTTATATATTGGCGCCACCCGGGTCAGACACTTCATTATAAGGGGGATGATATATATATATATATAATGAATATAATATGATATGATACAATATAATGTGATATAATATAACGCTATAATATAATATAATACAAAATAATACATTATAATATAATACAATATAATATGATATTATATAATATAGCATAACAACAGAACATAAAATAATATAATATGATATGATACAATATAATACAATATAATACAATATAAAAATAATATAATTTAATATGATACAATATAATACAATATAATACAATATAAAATAATACAATATAATATAGTATGGTATAATATAATATTAATAATAAATAATATATAATAATATATGTATATTTACAGAAAATAGTTTAGGGATATTTGTATATATATATATATACCTCTAGAAAGAGTTGCTGTTACAGGCAGTGCCTAAGATATCCTAAGATATAGCACTGGTTGCTGATTTCAAATGTTTTGGATGGTTTTTGATGTTTTTTGCTTCCATCACCGAAAATCGGAAGTCTCCAGCATATTTTCTTGGATAGGCTCAAGCTCCCAATGGGTTGAAGTAATCCGATGTGTCCGTTGAATAATTGGCAATAGCGCTGGGAAATTGAACTGAAAGTCTCCATCATGTCTAGATATACTTTTTGTATGACTCAATATTGGACGTTTTGTTCGTACATTGATTTGCATGGCAAAGACTGGTTGGGACATTTCAGCCAGTAGCAGTCAGTCATGAGAAGCTGCTTGATTTTTGGGACGATGCACGAAATGCTCAGATCCAATGCTCAACCAGGGTTTCCGGGGGTATGTTTCACTGTATTCTATAAGACATGGATACTGAAAGCTTATAAAAGGAACCAGAAAAAAGTCTGCTCCCATCTTCCAATTTGCCTGGAGAGGTACGACCTTCATGGCGATTCTGCCTTTGGCCTTTTCCTCCAGTCAAGCCTTTCGGGTCTTCTTCAAGATGTTTTTCGGCATCGTCGTGGCTGGAGGCGTGCCGGGGTGGCCGCGCCTGGGAGAAACCTGGGAAAAGTTGGTGTCGTTGGTCAACTGGGTGGCGGTGACTGGAACCATGGAATTTTATAACTTTCCCAGATATTGGCATATTGGGAATGTCATCATCCCAACTGACCAACTCCATCATTGTTCAGAGGGGTGGCGAAAAACCACCAACCAGTAAAATGTGCTGTGATTTTGGTTGACGTCCCGTGTTTCCACCAAAAATTAAGTGATCCATCCGACCCACCAATTTGACAAAGGAACTATCTCATTGGGGAGCTCGTTATGGATCTATCATTTCTGGAGCATCAGGGCAGTGTAATGCAGTGTATGTTGGCCGCCAAGAGCAGTTACAATATAATGTTCCCGAATGATAAGTTGGTTTGTTCATCCATCTATTGTTGGAATCTATATTGTACGACTATGGTATATACTATATACAGTATACTATATAGTTAGAATATGTTACAATGATGAATTGCGTAATTAATCGGGTGTCTCTTTAAGGGGGGTTTACTAGGGTATAGGCAAACATACAATAGAGGCAAACACACAATAAAAATGATAAAAACCCATGAGCAACAATCATAGACTACCGATATTACCATTGCTACAATCAACATGTGCAGAATTGTGCAGATGCAGTTTGAAAGATGATCAATGATTGTTATCCTGAATATTCATAACCAATTGCCGCACGCTTTGGGCTATGCTTTTGTTTGACACTTTGCTTCAAAAAACTTTCGTCCCAAGGGGACTAGGGCGGCTAGGGTCTTGAGCAGCACATGAACCATGTTTTCAAAGGTTTTGCCAGAGCTGTCACTGTGTGACAATTCTTATTTTTCAATATTTTCCAATAAACCGATCATCAACGGTCCATTTTCCAACAAACCCGCTTTTTTTGGACACCATTTCGGGGCTATCTCATCGCCCGTTTGCGGCAGGTGCCCATGGCCTGATCTTCCTCCCTGTGCTCCTTTCCCTGCTGGGTCCCTCTATGGACGGCTCCAGCACGGAAGTCGTCAAGATTGACAATGCGGAGGTGCTGGAGAGCAACAGCGAGCACAGCCCCAAGGTGGCCAAGGGGACGAGTTGACAGCAGAGCAGCCAAGTCATGGGGCACCTGAGGTGGACCTGTTTAGGAGTGGCTGGATGGCTGGACCTCGTTTTTATTCATGGTTTCTTCGTGATCACATGGTAAAACGGTGTGGAATGTCGCGAAATGTCTTGATCCCGCAATCCAAACGGATCAGTGGGTTTGTACAAGATGACCGGCTAACAGTGACAGACGATGTGAAACAACTGGCTATTGGTAGAGAGATGCCTTCATGTCATCATATGTCATCCCACATATCACCGGTAACCGGCCATGTAGTAGGATGTTTCAGGCTTGTTTCAGGGTTCAATCCGATTCAAGCCTGTGAAATTTTCAATTATCAGTGTGACCTGAACTGACGCAAAGGGCCCCGCCTGTGCGCGCAAGTCATGGTCACATGCCTAGCACCGACCGGCCGCGCTTTCGCAAAAGTTTGGGCGGCGAAAGCTGGGAGGCATGGGTTGAGGACCCAAAACTATCCAATTGTGGGCTCGGCTAGTAAACGAAAAGACCGCCTATAACTGTGATCAATTGTTGTTGTTGTTGTTGTTGTGGTGGTCGTGGTCGTGGTCGTGGTCGTCGTCATCGTCATCGTCATCGTCAACTCGTCGTGGTGGTCGTCGTCGTCGCCGCCGCCGTCGTCGTTGTTGTTCTTGTTTTTAAATTGCCATGTTTGATTACCAGCCTCAAACATTTTTTGGAGTGCTCAATTGTGACCCACAGCCAGATTTACAGTCTGTTCACCTGAAAAAAACACAGGTACCCAACTGGATGTCATGAGGCCATAGATTGCAATGATGTTCCCGAATCCAAAGGCCTTTACTGACTTGACCGACGTTCGGTACCTCGAATTTAGGCACCTGCAATATTGCCATCAAGTCTCAGTCCATATCTCTACGTTGTTCATAGTTTTTGTTAACTTAACATCAGTTTTTCGTTGCTTGGTCAAATCCATTGTTTGGATAAATCCAACTTTCCAAACAACAACACCAACCAACATGTGATTCAAACCCTCACCAGCTCCAAACGCCCTCTGAGAAGGTGTTTGGGCCCCAACCCCTAACCCCAAATACAGTCTCAGAAGATGTTTGGAGCCCTAGGATGAAATCCCCCAATCAGTTTTTAACAAATGTTTCAGTGTGTACAATTTTTGAGCCCTTCAGCAGTTCAATCAATGGTTGATTTATGGGGCATTCCATGGGGTGACGGCACCACTGACCACTTCGGATTGAGGAGATGGGTCACAAGGCCGCCTTTGGACTTGTCGGTGTCGGATGTGGAACCATGTGGAAACCAGGAATCGCCAGTGGTGTATATATGACTCAGTTGCTGACCTATTTTAAAAAATGGATAGGAAGCAAGTCTTGCTAAATTTGGGAAATGTTGACCTAGCATGTGGCATGTCTTGCGGTTGGCCAGGTGACAAGAGGAAATCCAAGTCATGTAGGAATAGATCAGGCAACTTGTGTGTGGGAATATCCCAAGGGGTTTTCTCCAAAAATGGAGTATACCCCCAAGATTTGCCAAAGTTGCCATATTGATAAATGCGTTTTGTTGAAACTCAAGCGAAAAGGGAGGGCTGGATGAAATGACGATCCTATTTGTTGCGGTATTTCCATGTGAAGTTTGCGTTTTGTTTGAACGGCGTGGGCCGTGGGTGTGATGTCGTGAAACGAGACAACCATTTTCGCAATTCCCATGTGACCCGTGGGGTAGGTCAGCAACCTTGAAATACATACATCGAACAGACCAACATCCTATCCTTGAATCTTAGAATCGATCAATGAGTTTCATGATTCTCCACATCGATCCACTGATGCTTCAGAGGTCTCATTTGCAGATGGACACGGAGCAACCTTGAAAATCCTCCAGTAGTTGACCCTGGTGACCCTGCTGTCATGAGATGGGTTCCTGCAGCAGTTGCGTGTGGGAATCCCATTCTGATATTTCCACTACTCCCCCCAAAAAGATGACGAAAACATCTCCAGAAGGAAAACTATATAGATACCAAAAAGATGATGTTTTCATACTGTGTTTGTGGGCCGGCCGTTGCGATTCATCCGTTCATCACCAGTTGATACAGGGCTTCAACATCCCCTTATTTTCATAGGCTTGAAAGCTCCCATCCCTTAAATTGGTGGTGCAGATTCGCAACCATCATGGTGACCTGATCATGATTACCATGTACCCTCTAGTTATTTAACATAGCCATGGAAGCCATGGCCCATAGAAATAGATAGTTTACCTATTAAAAATGGTGATTTTCCATGGCTGTGTTAAATAACCAGATGGTAGAATTTGTTAAAAACTGTTGGAATATCTTAGAAATTTATATTAGGGTTACCATGTTATTACCGGTATATACATGCATATACCAATCACATCCAACAACATATGTAGTTATTTAATCTTAACTTTATATTTCTGATTTTATTTTCGGCCTGACTCCGGCTGATCATTCATCACGATGCCCGGGAGCAAGTTACGCCCGCCCAAGGCGATACACGTGGGAAGGGCATTGGTCCTGGGAAGCTCTTCTATCGCGTGCTGCGAAAGGTGGGCTCCGTCCTTTTTTTGTTCAGAGATGGTGATTTCCTCTGACATTCTGGAAGGAAAAGAATGGAAAAGACAGGATGCAAAACAGGTGAACTATGGTGAACTATGGTGAACTGATGCAGTAATATTATCTAGACTTGGAGTGGTTCACCATATGTGTTAGAACTTTCTACATCTTTTTGGCGGATACTACATTGATCTGGCGTATGATCAAGTCCTGAGCTGGCAACGGCGTCAGCGGTGCACAAGGCTGCTGGTTGATGTGATCGAAAGCATCTCATGGGGCGAGCCGCAATCCGATTCCCTGCCGCCAGATGGAGAAACTCAACAGTGTTGGCGTCAAAAAAAATCTTAGTATAACATCCTGTTTAACTACAGGGGTTGGTAAATGTCCTTTTTTTTTGATTTTGAACATCACCTTCAAGTTTTTGCTGGAGATTACACTCTTAATACTTGGGTGATGTTCAACTAGGACATTTGCCAACCTCCGTTCTACACTTTGTCAATGTTTCTGAGTTTCTTGTTAGATTCCCATGCTGGTCTCTGTTCATGAAATTCTGAAATTCCAATTCATCACCGTTGGAATATCTTGGATTTCTTCATCGATTTACCCTCTGGTAAATTAACATAGGCCCTGAAAATAACACAAAAATAGCCAGAATTTTCAATGGACACGAATCTTCCAAGCCCTATCTGGATCTATGTTCATTGATATACCGGAGGGCACCAAAAAACGCTCCCAAGTGGTTGGAGGACTGGCGCAGTTCGAGGTGGCAGATTTCGACTGGCCACCAGTGCCTTGGGCAAGATGTAATAAACAATTCCCAGGAAAATGGGTGGTTAATTTGGCATTGTTTTACCCACATGAAAAAGTAGGAAAAACAGGGAAAAATCCGTATTATAGTCTTTTGTCAATCTTTCAATAAAATATCTTTACTACCTCCCAACTTAGATTTTTTGGATGATGGGAGTTCCAACTAAGCACCAGAACTGGGTGTGTCTGAGAATGGGAAGTTTTTATCCCTAAAACTCTTTGTTTTGATTTGGGACAATGATGATTCAGCGGATTTACGGCCTTTTTCTATTGAAAATTTGGCATCTTGGCTTTTGAAAACACCAGGGGCTCTGTGGGCCTTCTTCAAGGGGTATCCCGGGGTATCCAGGCGAGTTTCACTGAAGCCATGGCATGGCCATCCCAAAACCTGACCCCAGATCCATTGAATCCATCTTTTATGGCTGATATCCCAACCACTGATAGATATCAGTGGATTAACATGATACAATGATATACATATGCTGCTTTCATATCATGTTAAGCAAAGATTGCAGCCCACGAAAAAAAAACTGAAGACGCACGCAATTCTACTTATATATAATTTACATAGATATGATATGGATATACTGTATATATGGTATTATATGGTTATCTATCAACGAGCATAATTACTATATATATTATATATATATATATATACGTAAACACTTTTTATTTGCTATAGTTTTTTTTCTTTTTCTGAAAACAAGGTGCTCCCAAATTTGACGGTTTATCATCATTTTCCCCTACGAAATTGTCATCTTATGAAGTAAATCCAATATTGTCAGACACACCCAAAACATCGAGTTGGTTGGCCATAGATATCCGATAGGAAAACCATCGGATACCCCAAAAAAGTGATCAGGGTACTGTATCTGCTATAGGTGTTATGTTTGGTTGTTTAAAACACATGACATCCCATGAAATCCCACAAATTTTTTTGGTTAAATCAGCATTTTCCTACAGGATGGTGCTCCCCAGTTATAAGTTGGTTTATAAAGCCCATGAACATCCATTAACTATACTTCTTTCTACCATAAACCGTACACACTTATAAGTTATTTTCGCATGGTTTTCCTATGGTTTGTTTCGCTGGAGGCTGGAACTTTTGTAGAAAACCAAGAGATTTTTGCCGTCAAAATATGCGAAACTGTCCCAATGCCATTGTGATCCGATTCATTCCGATTCTTCGTTAGAACGGGACGGGGATCCGTATCAAGGGGTGAAACGAAGTTTTTTTTGAGCAGCCTCCAAACGATACAAGGTGGTGCCCCCTAAAGTTATAAATGGGTTATAATTTATAATCCCATTAACTATAGATATATCACCTATAAACATCTATAAACCATAGCCATAGTTATCGGACTTATGTTCACCAACTTAGCTAACGAACTGGGGCACCACCTTGTAGCATCCATTCGTGGTCAGCCCAAACTTTCACCCAGACCCCAGAAGTGCCAGGCTGACAGTGGCGCCCAACCTCCCTGCGTGGGCAAAATCTTTCGCTGCCTTGAATTGCCTAAAAAAAACCGTGTGGAATGCGTTTATGCTTCTTTTTTAGGACGCATCATGTAGGGAGAAAAAGAGGGTTGGAGACGTTTCCCCTTATTTTTTGATGTGAAATCCACAGATGTGTTCTTTTGTTGGTTTTCATTCACCAAGAAAAAAACACTTCTTGGCACATCAGTTTTTGATGAGATTTTGGATGTCCCGATGAGTGGCTTTGTTTGAGACTGGGGTGCCCTATCCTATCCACCACCACATTAAACCCAGCTTCACCACATTAAATCCAGTTTCACCACATTAGACCCGGTTTATCCACTTGTT